ATTTTGAAGTCAAAGTTAAAAGATCTGTATAAACACAATACCTAAACAAGAGGAGACATATACATATCACAAAATTGATTTTAAAGTTGTATCAATAAGTGAAAATCTATACCAATGTGAAGTATTCATTCCTATATCCTATTCCCCCTATTTTTTTCTTAAAAAAATGACTATGCTGGTTATCATTTATAACCAACCCCATTTAAATGAAAACAAACATTTATAAACAATATTTGGGGATTTGGGCATCGTTCTTTCTAAACTGCTTCCTGCTGATTGGGGGCAATGTTCATACCATTGGAATCATGATAAAACATAGAAATCTGGCCAAGTCCTTGTTTTTGTAGCTGTAAGGCTTTATCAGCTCAGCTTCAGGGGGTCTTGCTTGATCAAACCAACTGGATCTGTCTTTATCATCTCGGGAGTGCCAAGAGAAACCCCAAGAGCGCCAGGATGGCGCTAGCATATGCAAGCTGCTCTGCTGCGGCTCAGGGGCCCCACAGGGCAGGCTGTGGCAGTAGGTTTCCCTCTTCCTCTGGGAACCTTGGGGCATGGGGTCATACACACTTTGACCTCAGGAAGTGAGGGCCTCCCACCACTGGTCCATGGCACAAATTTAGGATCAGGAATCCTGCTTGAAGAAGCTAGCTTCAAAGGTAAGGCTTTTCTCTTAGCATTTTTGTGTAATCCTATCTGCACCCAGCAGTGGCTGCACAAGCCACTGCCTCTAGTATTCTTCCATCTACACCAGAATCTCTCTCTTCTTTTCTTATCTCAATAAACTGATGATTTTCCAGCTTTGCTTTCTCCCGTTATCTTACCAAAATGAGATGTATAGCTCTCATACACTCTGATTCTAGACTGATACATTGACCCAGCTCCATTTCCTGTATTATATGCCTGCAGTGATGGTACAGTGGTGAGCATAGCTGCCTTCTATTTCCTATATTGTATATGGTGTATGACATCAAATAAATAGCAATACTACTAAATAAACAATACCATTACAAATGTTTCTTGATGATTCAGAACATAAATCATTGCTTTTCAGATTTCTATGTGAAAAGAATCACATAGACAGTTTTTAATAACATATATTCACGAACTATGGATCTTTTGATTGAGTCCCCCACACAAACTGGAAAAATCCTTTAAAACAAAATTATGTTATTATAATAGACAGCCCTTGTAGAGATTTATTTATAAACAGAATATTATGTAATTTACTTATCATGAACAACAGGGTCAAATTCTAAAATTGTAGAAAAATTTGGATTTGGCATTATAAAATGTTGCTTAAGAGTTGGGTTTCACATAAAACTGTTAAATTTTATAAAAAGGACTCTTCTTTGGCAATTGAGATTCCCTGAATTTCTGACATCAAAAACTTTGCTATTTGGGGGTTATTTAATTTTCTATATCATATATTGAAACTTTACTGCCATTCCACATCTTCTTTTCTTTTTTATAGTTTATGCCCAAATATTTCCCCAGATGAAGAGATGAGTACCACACATAACTACTAACTCAGCTAGTTAACCATTCTGGTCGAATTCAGGGAAATCATGATGCTGTATTATTTAAGGACTCAGCCACCATTAGTTTCATACTCAATAATGAGTTTATTATTTGGGGTTCTGATGGACTAGATAAGAATATCTTGAAGACTCACAAGTTCAAGGATCAGTCTCCAACCAATAGCGATGTAAGGAAGTGGTGAAAAAGTAGAGATAGTAGTTAATGGAAGGTTAAAGGTCACTAAAGTCATGCCCTAATGGTGGATGAGGGAGGTCTGATCATTTCTACTCTCTTTTTGATACCCTAGCCATTCCAAGCATGATGTGTTGCTTTGCCATAAGCACAAAAGCAACAGTGCCAAGGATCATTGACTGAATTCCTTAAACCTGTGCCAAAGTAAACTTCCCTCTTTGCATTGCTTCCCTTAGGTATTTTGTAACAGTAATGCAAAGCTGACGGACACAGAGGTCCATGTTATGAGGGCCACACTAGGACAAACATCTGTTTTATATTATTTATGCTTTAATTTAAAGTTTGCAATATTTCTTCATTTTTAAGTATTTAATGTACTCATAAATCCAATGAAGCTCTGATGAGGTTTCAAAGCTCTTGAGTCATCTGTAAGTCATTAATGGACTGTTTTCTCAATTGCTAAACCTGTCTTTAAAATGTGTTATGTCTTTTAAGCATTCAAGTGCATGTTTATTGGAAAATAAACATCCATGGGAAAGAAAAATAACAAAATGGCAGGAATACCATCTGATCACCCTTTTTATAACAATTAAGCATATTAAATTCTGTCCTCACACTAAAGGCATTTGAGCAGTGTCATTTTTATGGAGAGAATGAACAGGAATGCTTCAGAGTAATACTTGTCCAACTACTCAGTATTCTGCTAGTCTGTGATGTCCTTAACTTTTCTGCTCACTGATGGGTCACTTATGCAAGCTGCTCTACTCTACTGTCAGCTTCAGGGATCTGATACCCTAAGTCTGTCCCTGGGGAGAGCCACAGCCAGTGTGTTCACCTTATTTAGATTATCCTTCCAAGTAGTTACTATCCCCCTAATTTATCCCACTTTTAATTTAATTTAATTTAATTTAATTTTGTTTTTTTCTCTTTTTATTATTATTATTATTATTATTATTATTATTATTATTAATTCAAGTTAGGGAACAGGCTTGTTTCACATGTAAGTCCCCTCTCCCTCTCCCTCCCTCACCCCCATTCCTTCTCCCCCACCTCCAACCTACCTCCCACCCCATCCACC